ATATTTTATAAAATTAACCAAAGGGGGGATAAGTAAAATTTAAAAAAAAAGAAATGAAAGACTACTTTTTTGAGAAAACAATTTCAACAACTAAAAATTGTGTGACAATTTCTTTTTTAAAAATTTTATTTATTATTTTTATGTGTACAAGTGTATTGTGTATATGTATGTGAGTGACCCATGTTGTGCAATGCCTGTGGAGGTCAGAAGAGTGAGTCAGATCCCCTGGAACTGGAGTTATGAATGGTTGTTAGCCAGCCGGGTGTGGTAGTGCACACCTTTAGGCCCAACACTCGGGAGGCAGAGGCAGGAAGATTTCTGTGAGTTCAAGGCCAGCCTGGTCTACATAGTGAGTTCTAGGACAGCTGGGGCTACAGAGAGACCCTGTCTCAAAAAGACCGAAAAAAAAAAAAAAAGAAAAAAGAAGTTAGCTACTATGTAGGTGCTGGAAATTAAACCTGGGTCCTCTGCAAGAGCAGCCAGTGCTTTTAACTGCTGAGCCGTCTCTCCAGCCCCATGACAATATTGTTAAGGAATCTACTGTCTGTATGAAAATATTGTGAAATTATGTAAAAAATGGTTTTTGAAAAGTAAATAATTAGTAGTACCATAGACTAGTATTTTATATGTGGGTGTATACATATACAAACATATATATACATTTTTTTTTTTTTGAGACAGGGTCTCCCTGTAGCCCCACTGGCCTGGAACTCACTATTTAGGTCATGCTGGCCTCAATCAATCTCACAGATTCACCTGCCTCTGTCTCCTGAGTACTAGGATTAAAGGTGTGCACCTCCATGTCTGGCTCTACATTAATATATTTTAAAAATATTTTATTCACTATTCTTATTTTTATTTGTATGAGTGTATTGCTTGCATATATGTAAGTGTACCCATGACATGCAATGTCTGCAGAGGTCAGAAGAGAGTGCTTAATTCTCCTGGAACTAGAGTTATGGATAGTTATTAGCTGCCATGTGTGTGCTGGGAATTGAACTCAGGTCGTCTGCAAGAGCAGTCAGTGCTTTTAACTGCTGAGCTACCTCTCTAGCCCCTTCATAACAACATTTTTGAATTTGGAATGTGCTTTTGAAAAAATGTCAAATAAACTGTCTAGTTGTGACACTGTCATTGCACATGCTTGTGTGAATTTTGTTTGAAAATAAATTACTCATTTACAGTCTGCAGCTATTTGCTTTGGTGGTAGTGGCCACAGTTGGATATTAATTTAAAACTAAATATTGAATACCTCTAAAATTATTTTTATGTGGCACTGCAATAAAAAATATACAGTCTGTCAATTAAGATTATTGTGGACTAAGATGGCCTTACAATGAAGAGTGCTAGAAAATTCTAAATTACTCAGAATAGATCATGGGAGCTGTGTGAACCCTATTCAGGCCCCATGGAGGGTTACTATTCAAGCACTGATGTCCTGTGAAAAGCTGACTCAACTTTCATGGCTGCTCAATTTTCATCCATATGCAATTCAATTCAACTTGTAAAAGAAAAAAAAATCTACGATTTAGAGTTATGGATTGTCCCCCCCCCCCCCCCCGCCACACACATTGGACTTAACTACCAGTGTGATGGCATTGGGATGTGGGGACTTTAAGAGATGATTTAAGTCACTAGAGCTGTGACTAAAGGGCTGGAGGCTAAAGGGAATGCTCTGTTGTTCTTCAGGTTTCCTTAATGTAAGGATTCAGGAACAATCCTTCCCCAAATGCCAGGGCCTTCAACTTGAACTTCCCAGTCTTTAGAATTGTGAGAAATTTCTGAGCTTTATGTATCACCCAGTGTTGGGTATTCTGTCATAGCAGCACAAAAAGACCAAGATATAGATAAAATTTCAATGTTTTGCACTGTGCCTTGAAGTGACACTGGGTCAGAATCATGAGCACAGGTTATAAAACCCAGTGTGTCACCCTGATACCCTGCATAAGTGCTGATGGCTAAATGCCATTCACAGCAGTATTTAGACTCTAAATGTGAAGAAGTCTGAGACACAAACTTAAGACTTTAATGCTGAAAACAAAAGTGGACAAGTGTATGAGACAGGCCTGGACAGATAAAACATTTTCTCGTTGTATAATTAATACTGTGTTTTTTTTTTTTTTTTTCCCTCACTAAAAGAGCACAGTGATTAAAGAAGGGCCTTCTATGCAGTAATAGTTTAGAATTGAAGATGTGTAGCAATCAGCTACTGACGAGAAGATATGGGGATGACTTACGTGAATTCAAGTTGGATTGCGTACTCTTTGGATATGAATGGTATCTGGTCTGGGGCCAGGCGCTTTGCCAGTTGCAGAGCACTGTCCCAGTGCTGCAGGTCCCTTCTCATCTGTGAGGAAGAGAAAGACCTTCAGTTCAAAAAGGCAAATTATTTAGTTAAGTCACTATGCAATTCCGGGTTTAATAAAAGGAATCAAAAAAATTTTTCGTTTAAATAATGCAACTTGCTGTTTACAAAGATATTGCTATAGCATGCATTATCAGTAGCAGTAATAGAGCCTTCAGAACTAGACAAAAACCTTACCTATTGTGGTGATTTGTGATCCTCCTAAAAGTCAATCCCGCCAGGTGTGGTGGTGCAAGACTGCAGTCCCAGCACTTGGGAGGCAGAGGCAGGTGGATCTCTGTGAGTTCAAGGCCAGCCTGGTCTATATAGTGAGCTCCAGGCCAGCCCCCATTACAGGGAGACCCTGTCTCAAAAACACCAAAAAAAATAAAAAAATAAAAAGTCAAACCCATTTAACAAAAATCTTATTCCTTTGTATTTTTCTCAGTAGTGGGAAATTGAATTTAAACTAATGTAATAATTAATTTAAAGTAAAAATTTTCCTTAGATAAAAAAAATTGGGAATCACTTTACTATAGGAACTGATTTTTAAAATTTATTTTATTTGACTTTATGTGTACGAGTGTTTTGCCTGATATGTGTAAGTATACCTGTGTATGCAATGCCTACACAGAGGGCACTGTATCTCCTAGAACTGGAGTTACAGACAGTTGTTAGCTGCCATGTGGGTGCTGGGAACCCCACCTGGGTCCTCTGCAAGTGCAGCCAGTGCTCTTAGCCATTTTTCCAACCCCTACCCCTTTTTTTTTGTGACAGGGTCTTGCTATGTATCCTTGGCTAGCCTGGACCTCAAAAGGTGGCCCAAGCTGATGTTGAACTTACAGCAATCCTCCAGTCTCTGGCTCTTGGGTGCCAGGATTACAGGTTGTAAGACACCTTACTTGGCTTGGAACTGATGCATTAAAAAAAATTACATCTATTTATGTGTGTGTATGGGCACATATGTGCCACAGCATGTACAGAAGTCAGAGGATAACTTGCAGGACTCAGTTCTCTCCTTTTACTATGTGGGTCTTGGGGTCTGCACTTAGGTCATCAAGATGGTGGGAAGTGCCTTGACTAGTTGAACCATCTTGCCGGGCCCTTAAGGCACTTTCTTCCATAGTTTGAAGCTATACTGCAAACATGAATAATAGAAATATAACATTTAAAGTGTCTTTCTTCCTGGTTCCTGTGGTCTTTTACCAGTGTTTAGCATATGGTTTCAATTATAAGGTAATCATTGAAGGATCTTTTAAAGTTCATTCTTCATTTTATTTACTTTGTTAAGAATTACTCAAAACTAGTAAGTGCTATTTGGGGTTGGGGACAGGTTTTGGTCTAGGACATTAGCTCATGTTACTTTTCACAACTACTTTTTGTAATGAAATTTTAAATATTTTGCTTTTATTTTATGTGTATGAGTGTACTGCCTGCATGTATGTAAGTGCGCCCATGTCATGGAATGCCTGAAGAGGTCAGAAGAAGGCATCGGATGCCCCTGGAACTGGAGTTACAGATGGTTGTTAGCCACCATGTAGGTGCTGGGAATTGAACCCGGGTCCTCTGCAGGAGGAGCCAGTGCTCTTAACTGCTGAGCCATCTCTCTAGCCTTGTGCAATGGAATTTTAGAGATCCAAAAGGGAAGGAAAGAGAAGCTAGTTTTTACACAAGGCTACATGGTGAGTACACGATGGGGCAGGTATAAGGGCTCTCGCTCACTAGCTAACTTGTTCAAAGTGAGGCTGAAGGAACAACAGAGTGCTGTGCTCCTAGACCTCTTCTCTGAACCACTGCCTCAAATCCTTTGCCAGGCTAGTGACAGTGATGTCTCTGTCTTCACTCTTTACTGTCACACTCCTATTTCAGTGAGCACAGTTCAAGTCTGGAAAATTTCTCAGCCATGTCCCTAATTATCTCAAGTAATAATGTAAAATGATCTAAATTGGCAAGAAAAACAATTTGACTTACTTAAAATGTAAATAAAAATGAAGATTAGCTGTAGAGATGAAAAAATAAAAATGAAAATTTAGAGCTGGGGCTGTAGCTCCCTTGATTTGATCCCTAGCACCTCAAATAACATACAAACAAAAAAAAACAAAATAAAAAAGACAAAACTAGACAATTTGCTGTAGAACTATTTGAAATAATTATGAAATGCGTATCAAACATATTTTCAAAATACCCCTTTTAATCAGCATGTATTTATTATACAAAATATGGGTTTCATTATGACATTTCCAAATATGGACATCATGTACTTTGATCATATTCATTCACTCTAAAACAACTCCCTTTATGTTTAGTTGAAGAAATGCCACCCTTTTTCTAAGACGGTGAACACAGAGTAGAATTAATTAGAAGTAATCAATCAAGAGTAGCCAAAATAAGGGTCTCATTACATAGCCCTGGTTGGCATGAAACTTGCTATGTAGACCAGACTGGCTTCGATCTCACAAAGATCTGTCAGACTCTGCCTCTGAGTGCTGGGATTAAAGGTGTGTGTCACTATGCCTAGCATATACCTAGCACCTTTTAAAAATATTTAAAACAGGGGCTGGAGAGATGGCTCAGCAGTTAAGAGTACTGGCTGTTCTTGCAGAAGACCAGGGTTTGAATCCCAGCACCCACATGGCAGCTAACAATTGTCCATAACTCCAGTTCCAGGTGATCCATTGCCCTCTTCTGTCTTCTGTGGGCACTGCACAACATGGGTGCAGTTACACACATGCAGGCAATACACTCATACACAAAATAAAAATAAATACTTCAAAAACATTAAAAATATTTAAAACCATTTATTTTTGTTTTATATGTATTAATATTTTGTCTGCATATATGTAAGTGTACCCATGTTATGCAATGCCTGTGGAAGCCAGAAGAGGGCATCAGATCCCTTGAAACTGGAGTTACAGATACTCTTCAGCCACCATGTGGGTGCTGGGAACTAGACCCAGGTCCCCTGCAAGAGCAGCCAGTGTTCTTAACTGCTGAACCATGTCTCCAACCCCTTAAGACTATTTTTAATGGATAAGAAAAACTATACATAGGAAATGCTGGTTTGAGATCGACTAGCACTGATAATTATAGTTGCCATTTAAAAATTGTACAATTCCCCTGTGGGTTAGGCATTATTACCTATACTTTAACCTAAGCTGAGAAAGGTCAAATAATTTGTCCAAGGTTACATACAGCTAGAATCTGAATCCAGGTGTGTCCAACTCTGGACTCTGGTGCTTTTCTTTTCTTTTTTAAAAAAATTTTTAGGCAGAGTCTTGCTATGTAGTCCTGGCTAGCCTGGAACCTGTTAAGTAGACCAGGCAGACCCTGAATGTGCAGTCCTCCTGCTTCTGCTGGATTTACTGGTGTACACCTCTATATCCAGCTGGTCTACACTCTTTGGTTGCTAGTCTGCCTTGCCATGTCTCCATTTCTCTCTGCCCCTGAACTTGATCCACCCTTCTGTTCAAGTCCTTCTGAAACTCTCAACTCTTAACACAGAGGAGAATTTCATGAACTAAAAGATCCATGTGCTTCAATGTTCTCATGTGGAAAATAGAGAAAATATCAGTACTATCCCTTAAGACAGACTGTTGTGGGAATGAAATGAGTTAGTACAGGTCAAATGCTTAGAAAATGGCCTGGTAACATGAACAATCAATAAATGGTCACTACTTTCCTTTTTGTGTTTTATGTAGGTTATGTATGCTTTGTAGGACACATTTAGGCTCAGTTTTTCAGCAATGTTACAATGCTCTGTCTTTTATATGTGCACTGAATGCAGAATGAAAGTAGTGTTGGTGTTAATGAGTGCCCAGGGGCTCTGAAAGCTGAAATGTTTATACTTCAGGAGGGGGAAGGCAGGTGGTGTCTGGCCCTAAGAGGTCTGATTATAAGGAAGGGGTGATTGATCTCTGCATCCTTGTTACTGGTCATACCTCCAGGGCAGCCACAGGACAGCTGGAAGCCAGGTACAGGTCCTGAGCCAGGTTGAAGTCATTCGTAAACATGGCCAGATGTCCTGCCAAAAGATTGTAGTCCTCGATCCCCTACAAACAAAAGCAGTTTTGATTAGAAGAAATATAAAGGTTTGATTATTTATTTATTTGAGACAATGTCTCACTTCGTAGTCCTGGCTGGCCTGAAATTTTATGACCAAGCTGCCCTCAACTTCATAGAGATCTACCTACTTCTGCTTCCCAAGCGCTGGGATTAAAGGCATGGGCCACTACACTTGGCCTTGATTTCTTGCATATATCTATATATCTATATATATATATACACACACATACACACATACCCACACCCCACACACATATAAAACGTCTTTTTTGAGAAAGAGTCTCCCTGTAGCCCCAGGTGGCCTGGAACTCACAGAGATCCGTCTGCCTCTGCCTCTGCCTCCTGAGTGCTGGGCTTAAAGGCATGGGCTACCACGCCCAGCCTGGATTCTATTTCTTTAAAGGCTTAACTCAGTAGGAAGTGGCACTAGTCTACCTATTCACTTGTTTACTCATTAAGATTAAATGAAGAAGTATAAAATGTTTGAATAAATAGTATTTAAATTTTAACCAGATAACTCCTAGAATGTTGTATACCTTTATTTGTTCCAAGGACATCACTGTGCCAACCTCGCCAAGTGTCCGGTAAACACGGATGGCGAACTCCACTTCCATGTGATGTAGGCAAGCTCTGGCCAGCTCATTCCAGTTCCCACAATCATTCAGCAATTTGCATATTTCCCAAGCATCAGCAAACCTGGGATTGAGAACACAGCTTAACCATGGAGCTATGCTTGCCACTCCTGGACAATTTTCAGACTACATATTATCTAATGTTATATGCTAGTGAAATTTCCAAAATATTTTTTAACCATAATTGTCATTTGCAACTAATGAAAAAATAAATATTCTTCCTTTTTTTTTTGCAGGTTTGGGTGAGTTGTGTCTAGTGTGACATATATGAACATATATGTGCAGATACATGTGGCCATGGAGGCCAGAGGAGGACACGAAGTGTCCTACTCTATCATTTTCCTTTTTAATCCTTTGAGACAAGCCTCTTACTGAACTTGGAATCTGCTTTTTTTTTTTTTTGGCTAAGCTGGGTAATTGGCAAGCCCTGGCCACTCCTGGCTTTTACATGGGTACTGGGGAATCTGAACTCAGGTCCTCATGCTTGCTCAGCAAGTATTCTTACACAACGAACCATTCTTCTGTTAAACAGAATCTACTCTCTGTAACCAGCCCCCTCCTGCTACCAATAAACAACTAAACAGCTAATTCTAATTTTTAAAATTCCACACATAGTTGAACATTATTTTTGTTCTCAGAAAAACAGTACTCTATCCTAACAAATTTACAAGTTTAAAACCGAGTTCAGCAAACAATGGTCCATGGGATAAGTCCAGTCTATTGTTTTTGCTTTTCTATTACATTTATTTATTTATTTGTTTGTTTGTTTTGTGTGTGCATGCACACAATACATGCACATGTCACGATGGACAAATGGAGGTCAGAGAACAACCTGCAGGAGTCTGTTCTCTCCACCTGGTGGATACTGGGGATTGAATCTAGGTTATCAGGTTGGGTGGCAAGCTCCTTTACCCCCTGAGCCATCTTACCAGCCCCACTTTTCTTTCTTTTTTGAGCAGAGAAATGAGAGGATCAGATGTGTAAAGAATAGAATAGATTAGCATGAAGTTATCAGTAGAAAACAGTTAGGAAGTGGTTAACTCGTACAATGTCCAAAGTGAGGGACTGCATCAAGACAGGAGGGAAAGAACAATCTGAGAAATAGGTATGGGTGTGTGTGTGTGTGTGTGTGTGTGTGAGAGAGAGAGAGAGAGAGAGAGAGAGAGAGAGAGAGAGAGAGAGAGAGAGAGAGGGAGGGAGAGAGGGAGAGAAAAGGGTGTTGTGTGTGGCGGGGCGCATGTGTGCGATATGGGGAAAGTGGGAAAAAGATGAGTTTTGTTTCAGGCAGGGCTAATTTGAGTACATGACCTTCTAAGCATGTATGACCGATAGGCAGTTAGGAATACAAGTTTCAGTTGAAGACAGGATTTGTTTGTTTTTGACTTGGGTTTCCCAGTGACCCCAGCTGGCCTGGAACTTGCTATGTAGTCCATGCTGGCCTGGATCTCACAGAGATCTGCTCATCTTTGCCTCCTGAGTGCTAGAATCAAAGGCATGAACCACTATGCCCAGTGACGTTTTTGTTTGCTTGTTTGTCTGTGTGTTTTGGGTTTTTTTTTTTTTTTTTTTTTTTTTTTTTTTTTTTTGAGAGTGTCTTGATATGTAACCCAGGCTGACCTCAAACTTAAGATCATCCCAAGTGCAGGGAGTATAGGTACAGGCTGCCACAGCTGGCCACTGAGGACAGTTTATTTATTTATTGTGTCTTGTTTTGTTTTTGTTGTTTATTTTTGAGACAAAGTCTCCCTATGTAACCCCTGCTGGCCTGAAACTCATTATGTAGACCAGGTTGACCTCAATCTCACAGAGATCTACTTGCCTTTGCCTTCTGAGGGATTGAAGATGTGCACCACCATACCCAGCTTGTTTTTAACAGTGCCACAAATGAGTCCTGGGGCCCTATGCATACTAGGCAAGGGTTCCATCACTGATCTAAACCCCTAATCCTGAAGACAGTTTCTGGACTCAGTCAATATGGGTGATATAAAAGTCACCTACGTGTGGAGATTCAAACAAGAACAATTAGGGAAGAGAGGAAGAGAGCTCATAGGACTGAGGAACTATTTAAGACATGGTCAGAAGAATCAGAGCCACCAGCAATGAAATGAGAGAAAAAAAGGTGGAAAGGGAAAATCTCAAGCAAGGCAAAAATCAAACTTCATTACAAGGAAATCAAGCTATTGTTGAATAATTAGAATTTTCTAATAACTGGGCTATCTGTCTGCTCTGAGTACTTTTCTTATAAAAGAATACTTATCGAAATCACACCGGTCGATAGTGCTTACCCTGGGCTTTATATGCATTTTCATATCCATTATCTGCACGTGTACACATGTGTGCATGTCTATGTACTGCAGGTGTACATGTATGTGTGTGAGTACATGTGCATGTGGAGGCCAGAGAGCAACCTTGGGTGTTGGTCCTCAGATGCCATTCACCTCGCCCATTTTTGAGGTATGGTCTCTAGCTCACCTAGAACTTGCCAAGGAGGCCAGGCTGGCTAGTGATCCACCTGTCTCCGCCTCCCAGCACTGAGACTACATGTTTATGCCACCATGCCCAGCTTTTATTAACGTGGGTTCTAGGGATAGAACCCAGGTCCTCATGCTTGCAAGGCAAGTACTCTGCTGACCAAGCTGTCTCCTCCCTCATATTCATTATCTGAACTTCAACACAGTCCTGTGAAACAAAAGGGGCAACGATGATCCACAGCTCTTAAACAGGACTTGACCTTGACAATCACAAAAGCAAATGAGAGGCTCCAAGGGAAGTGTTTCCATCCCTACCGTCTGAGCATCAGAGACTGGGCCAGCATTTGCCTCAGGTCAGCAGGTTCAGAATCTTTTATATTATTGAGGAAGCTGTGGGTGCTGAGGTAGATGGAACTGATTTTTCCACTCTGTGTCTGGCAGGTCAATTCTCCATTGTATAACAGTAAAGGTTTGTGGGAGAAGGGAACTTTTGTGCCACCAACCAAAATAACCTTGGATCCTGTATTATAAAACAGACATCTTAATATTGCAAGCCAATCCTTGGTATAAACATCAGGAAGGAAATTTAAAATTTCACAGCAATGGAAATTCATTTATCTGTAAATGTACAAAAAATCGATTCAGTACCTTGTATGGTGTCCTTGTGGAAGACATAAGTGTATACCTTATCATCATCATAAGCAATAAATACACCTTTATCCAGCAGCCAGTTTTCCCAAAGAACACCTTTAATGGTTGGTGAGAAATCTGGAATCTCATAGGTAGCCTCATTAACCTACAAAATAGGATTTACAGAGTTGCTTCATGTATCTGTCATTAACACCTGCCTTGTTACAGCCTGTCTGCAGCAGTATCCAACCCATATACAATCCAGCATTACTAAAACCCCAGCCATTCTCCCCAGTAGGAGAGTTTATCTTCATAATTTTGTACTGTATCTGGCTTGGATAAAAATACTATAAATACTCAGAAAATCCAGGGTTTGGGACAAAGTTTGATTTGATTACAGGAAAACTGTACGACACAATGACTTCAAATTACTAAGATGTTGAAACGCTGAAGATGATGAATACACTCATGTGAAGCAACTTTTTTGTGTGCCTTATTGTGTGTTAGTTTCTGAGACAGAGCTTCACTATGTAGGCCAGCTCTTGAACTTCCGAACCTCCTGCCTGTAAGTGCTGGGATTACACATGTGAGTCACCACATCCAGTGGAACATTTAAACAATATTAAGTATTCAGTGATACTAGGCACTAAGAAACAAAAATGAACTCACATGCAATTTCAAATTTAAATAAATTACACTGAGAATATTTTATTTCAAGAATTTTTGAGACAGTGTCTTGCTATATATAGCCCAGGCTGACCTCAAACACATTGTCCACCTGCTTCAGTTATGTGCCATCACACTCGGCTCAAGAAACTTCTCTGCAATGAATTCCCCAAATACAAATGTACTAAGCTATTCTAAGGTTTATACATTTATTGTGTGTGCACACATGTATGTGTGGGTATGCCCTTGTGTGCATGTGAAGAGGCAAGAAGAGGACGTTGGGTGTCCCCCTCTATGGCTCTCCAACTATCCCTTTGAGGCAGGGTCTCTCTCTGAATATAGGGTTTACAGTTTCTTGGCAAGGCTGGAAACCAGCAAGCCCCGTAACCCTCCTGTATCCACCCACTCAAAGAGCTAGGGTTGTAGGTATGCTCAGGATGCCTGGCTTGTTACAAGGGTGCCGAAATCCAAATTCTGGTTCTTATAACAATCTTTCCAGCCCCCATATAACCTATTTGAAAAAAAAAAATCAATCCACATAATTGCTCTATGAGTGAAAAGAGCTACCCTAAATGGATACTGGAGAAGCACATGCTGCATCTTTCTCCAGCTGCCTCTCAAAAGAAGAATGAAATATGAAAGCCTTATAAATTATACTATGGAGTTATACTGTCTAATCTGGCAGTCATTATTATAAAGAAATGTACCTAACTCAAACTGAGATGTAAGTGAGGAGAATGTTCTCTTTGCTGAACAGACACTAAGGCAAAACAGTTACTAAGTACAGTGCCAAGAGCAGCTGAGGGTTATGGGAACTGAGACCAAGCACATTCTAAACCATTAGCTAGATGTTAAAAATAAATGAGATATATATGTCACCAAAGCATCACACTTCTTCCTAAACCCAGTTTTTTAAAGAGTAAAGGTTTGAACACAGTGACTGACTTACAAAATTGGTCCACCTAACTTTAATCACTGAATACAAAAATATTTAGCTTTTCTTGATTTTAACTGCTCTAAGGAAGGATAACCAGCTGAGATGAGAAAAAAGGCCAGGGTGTAAACCCTGCCCACCGACGAAGCCTGCTGCTATGTGGGGGAAGTCATGGACAGGAAGCTACGATGGAATTACTATAGTGTGCAGGATCTGTTACAGTGAAAAGTAGCATAGCATATAATAACTATTTTTCCATTAAAAATTGCTCTGGAGCTGGATATAGTGGTGCATGCCTATAGTCCTAGTACTTAAGGATGGGGCATGAGTTTGAGGCCAGCCTAAGCTACATAGTATAATAATACTCAAGGGAAAAAAAATCTCCATGAGTCTGATATTACAAAAATTATAGAACAGGTTAAGCTTTCTAGGCATTGCTTATACCCATATGACAAAGATGACCGGAAACTATCCTAATCTCTGGCTCTGTGTAAGAGAAAAGTTTATAAGGAAATATTTTATTAAATACTT